ATCATGTTAAATACCAAGTAAATGCTACGTAAGTATTCTATATTGATTTACTTAAGGAATAATTCAATAAAAATGTCTGTAATTGTTCACTCTGGCTGTAACTACTTCAAAAATTTTGGGCGGAAAATGCTAATAAATTTGGCATTGAAACCTGGGCCACATCCACAGCTATTTTTTGAAACCAAGGAACACAGAAACCACAGATGCAGAAGCCCACTGTGTGACTCACAGGATTGTGGCTGGCTATTGGTCACTGTCTCTACCACTTAAAAGAAATCCAGGACGCAGGAGCCTGGCTGACACGACCAATAAACGGTGGCATTTGCACAGCTGCTTTTAGAAATCAGTGTGAGAGGGAAGTTCAGGGATTTGTAGACTGACACTCATTATGTCAGCAGGCAGCCCCTGTGCCCACAGTCAGAGGGTCTCTGTGTCTCCTCCAGACCACAGCCTGTGTCTTTCAATCTTCAGCCCACTGAGTTTTGAAAAGCACACTAGCCTACTTTATTTCACACAAATCTGTCTTCAAGGGCCTTGAAATTATCTTCTGATTCTTTGTTTTTGTGAAATGTCAGTTTTGATCTTGCTCTTAACTCCCTGGAATGTCTTCGCCCACCCGGTCATTTCTTATTTAATTTACTTTGCTGAGATTGTTGGTTGGAATGACAAGTGCTAGCCAACTCATATACATTTGATTGATAGGAAAATTATGAAAATGGCTTGGCCCTGCATTCTAAAAATACCTCCCTATAATAACTGGTGTCAAAGACTAACATCCTTTAAGAATTTTTGCTTAAAGGACAAAGTTCAACTGTTTTTTAAAGAATAGGATCGTATTTACAATATGCACAAAAGAATATTCACCTTCATGTACACACTAAATTTGCATCATTCGTGGTGTGTGATAACACTATAAGGTGAAATTAATAAAATTTGATCTAACCTCAAATATATAACCAATAGGAAATGTCCCACACCTGAAATCAGTTGAATCATACTAATGCAAAAAATTAATTTTACCTTTAGTTTTCGTTGCTTCATATAACAGTGAGACAAAGGACAGAATCCGGCAGCATCCGCCTCGGCCTTGAGCTCAGCTTGAGCAGCCCCAGAGGACGGCACCAGCCCAGTCCTCAGGGCTGCAAAGCCGCAATGCTGTGCAGTTTATTCTCGGTCTCTTCCAGGCTCCTCACCCCTCTCCCTTTGGAAGCTCTGGGGCTCCCAAGCCTACATGCATACTATATATGCATATTCTGTAAGGAGAAGAAAGAAAACGGTGTATGTGAAGAGACACAACCTACACTTGCATTGGTGTTAAATGCCTTGGAAAAAACATTAGGAAGATGGAGTAACATACTAGCTATCGTGCATTTGTTTAACTTAAATAAGAATAATAATTGATAGAATTTGTATAAATATACATTTTAAACGAGAAAATCTATCATTCCAGTGAAATTCAATTACACGCTTACATAGTAGGTGTCAGTCATAGTAGATTTCTATACCTTCAAAAGCCAACACTTGTAACTTAAGAGCTTGGCACACTACTAAAGTGCAAGGTATTTCAGACTTTAATTACATGACACCTCTTTAGTTCCCATATTAACAATATATTTTCATTTAAGAAACTGACAACTCTTTTATGAGAATACAAAATTAATTAAATGAAGCCTGATTTAATTATGCAAGTATTAATTTGAGTCCTAAAATTTAATCATCTATTGCAGAATACAGCTCAGAAGTGCAGCTCAGCTGGCCAGACAGAGCATTTTGATGTTCTGCTTCTACCATATTTAATTATTTAATATCATGCAGTTTCCTACATCTGCAATTCACAATCTTTAAGGTTTCATGAGGATTTTTAAAATAATAAAATGTACCATTAGTGTTTAAAGTAAATAGATGCCCTAGACTATAATGATTGTGCTTCTGTTACTACACCTGAGTTCCTCACCACTTGCAGTGTTACAGAAATCAATAGTTTGATTTCTGATTTGAGAGAGACTGTCCCACATTATACTAAATGTTTTTAAGAGAAATGTTCTTTTCTTTCATTAGTTTCTACTTTTAAAACAATTTTCTGCAACAAATTATCTTTTAAAATATGCACAGCTGGAATACTTAATCTCCTTTACATTTGTTAATATTCCCATATTCTTAATCATTAAAAATAATGAACATGCAATGTTTCATAGTCTATCAGAGGTTAGTAATTTTTATCAAGGGGAACATAAATAACAATGGAATTTCTTTTTCAATACTCATTGAAGGGGATAGTTTGCTCTTTTTAAAAATACTCTCATGAAAATCCCTCTAAAAAAGGAATCTGATATAATTTTTATCCATCATATCATGAAGATATTAGTACACATAGTATTCCAGATTATATGACCATGTAAATTATTACAAATTACTTAGTTCTCCTTTTGGAATATAATAATATCTCTAATTACCAGATTATTTCTTTCTGTTTATGACTCTTAAATACTATGGATCCTACAGAAATATCTCCCCATATGGACATCTTTGATTTTTTGTTTCTTTTTGTCCTTATAATTGGTAAAGTGAATTTGCTGATATAAATACTTTATAAAATATATGGAAATACCATTTGCACCAGGAATATTTGTTTTTGGTTTTTGCAGAATATTAATTGCAGTCTATTTCCCAGTGAAGAAACTGGGATTAATTCACAGAGCTAAAAGAGCTGAATCATTAAGTATTGATACATAGATGAGAAGCCACCTGTCAAAGATTAGAAAGCTCTTTTCTATGATGCCATTTTCCTCACTTTAGAAAAATACTTGTATCTTTGAATCTATATCTATGCTTACCTAAAATATTATAGAAAATTCTCCAGCATAATGTGAATGTTGATTTTGTGAAAATCAACAAAACCAATAATTATTTCTTTGAGAAGACTAGTAAGTTAACAAGGCAAAAATGATGGTGAAAACAACCAAATTACTAAAATCAGAAATGAAAAAAGACTTCATTATAACATTACAGAAACAATGAGAAACACAATAGGAAAGAAATTCAGTGAAATCTGTAACACTAGTTAGTGTACTTAGGTGAACTGAAGAAAGTCCTTGCAAGGCACGAACTATAAAAAATAGTTCCAGAGACAATGGATAACCCACTAAGTTTAACAAGTGAAGCAATTGAGTTAGCAGTTTAAAATCTGCCAGCAAATGACAACTTAAGCACAGATAGCTTCATATGTAAACTCCACTGCACATTAAAATATAATTAGTAACATGGGCTCTCAAGCTTTTCTAAAAAACAGAAAAGGAAACACTTCAGCCTGAATTCTAATGAGTCAGTATATATTCCATACCTAAATCAAACAGGTCACAAGAAAAAAAAAAAAAACTTGCAAAATAAAAACTGCCAGACACAAAACTTTCAACCAAGACTGAGAAACAAAAACTTGCAGCATATAAAAAAGATTAAACAATATAACTAAGTGGAAATCTTTACAGAAATTCAAGGTTAGTCTAACATACGAACATCAGTCAGTATGATATTTGAGACCATTAAAAGACAAGTCTGTATAATTGTATAAATAGATTAAGAAAATTAACATCTGGAAAAATCAACCTTTTAATAATAAATATATCCAACAAACAGAATAAAAGTAAGCTTTCTTAATGTAATAAATAACTCTTACAAAACTCATGGGTTAAGGTCTCTTGGCTAAGGATCTAACTGATATTACTTTTTTCCCCAAAGATTAATCAAAGATAAAGGTTGTTTTCTGCTGGTCCTTCAGTTCAAACAGATATGTTGGACAGGACAATTAATAAAAATGAAAAAAAATACAAGTCTTCTAGATTGGAAAAAAATATTTCTGTTTGGAGATTAAATGATCTCCTATAGAGAAATTTCTAACATGCATTAAAAATTGGGACTCAAAGATTAGCTTAGCAGTTACAGCTTAAGTATCAATACACAAAAATACCAATTGCATTTCTGTATTATTAGCATAAATAAAATTAGGAACACTATTTATAAAAATACCTACGAATGAAATTGTTAGCATGGCAAGCACTATTTTAGCTTTTTAGAAACTCCCATACTGCTTTCTAGTTGCATGCAGTTTGGTAATCACGTAGTTACTGTGTGCTCATGATATTCCTCTTTTATTTAAAGTCACATTTGTGGCAGCATCAGGAAAATCAATTGACAAGACACACTGCTTTCCTTCTCTCACAGATCCTTCGCTATCTGGGGACGCAATTCATACTGAAGTAGAACACAAAGGCAGATCTTAGAAAATGTGAGGTCACAGTACAACGCAGGGAAATGAAGGTAGGTGAGGGCAATATGGAATTAAAATCAGGAAAGGCCTCTGGGATGGGCGATCTGTAGAAGGAAGTACTGCAGATGTTCTTTATAGCTATAAAGCGCGTTCCTCAGACAGAAAAGGAGCAGGGCCCACCTCGTCACTAGGCAGGGTAGTACCCTTGGCCCTAAATACTTATTGGACCACCAAAGATTTGCATCTTAATTTATTTAAAATTAGAAGAAAAATGAGTGTAATAATTAAGAATATATAATAAAAAATTTAGCCTATTTGTTAGGGTTTATATCTAGATGTACCTTCAAAGCCTCCTATAGTTAAGAGTAGAACTTTCAGGAAATGATTGAATCAAGGGCACGTGACACTGGATTAGTTCTCCCATGGCTTTGCAGCTCCACGCGATGCTGGGAGCTGAAGCCTGGCGGCTGCAGGCAGGTCACTGTGGCTGTGGCCTGGAATGCTGTGATACAGCCCTCCTCCTCCCCTGATCCCTCACTTCTCCCAGCATGCACTGGAGGCAGCCTGCTAGGACTGAAACTGCTACACACTGTGAAACGAAATAAAGGTTTCTTCTTGTGGTGGTGTGTATTTTGTCCCACAAATGAAGCAGTAACTAGGACACTGGCTTATGTTTATTTTTCATAAAGTCAATATTTAACATTTTTATAGAAAAAAGCCCATAAAACGGCAAGTATTCCTATGACCAAATACTCATAATTTATTCCTGATAAGAAGCAATGTACAGAGGAAATGAGTCAAAGATAAATTGTTGGGAAAAGCAGTCAAAATCTTCAAGGCCATTATTACATGTGAGGATTTACTCTCATAAAACTGAGTCAATTAGAGCATTCTGAGCACAGTTTAACACTTCAAAAGGATCATTTTTGCTCTTCTATTAAAACAGATTATAAGGATGTTGCAGATAATTAACAATATTGGCAAAATAAAAATAAAGCTACATTCATAGTACTATGTTTCTGCATAATTGATGTGAAGTGATCAAATACTGAATGTGTTTACTAATCCAGCAGGCTCAGGGACGGTAAGGAGAAACAGAGTGAAGCTGGGCAATCTTTATTCTCTTAGCAGGAGGGGCTCCTGATCAGCTGCTCCATGCCTACCGGAGTAGGCATGATTCAGTATAAAGCCATAGTTTCCCTTCTCTGGGATGGTCACAAGTACTGGCTTGGCTTCTTGTATATCAAGGCAAATGAGTCAGAATTCTAAAGAAAGTTGTGACAGTGAACAATAAATGACAATTACAACAGTTTACACACACCGTGTTTTTGTTTCTCCCCTCGGGAAGGTTTCCGGTTATATCATTTGTTCTTCAGTCCCTGTGACTGTGTCAAAAGCAGTGAATATTGAAGGGTACAGTGTAGCATCTTCAGTGTAGACGCCAGTGATTTTCACACCCAACCTACCCTCATTGCAGAGAGTGGGGCTTTAGCAGGCCAAGGCATGCTGCTCCTTATCCCAAAACACATACTTGGAGGACAAGGTGTGATGGAGGTCAGAATTCTACACGCAACTTGGCAGCAGGGGCCTCAGGGTCCCCGCTTCACCACTCACTGGCAGGCTGCCCTGGAAACAGTGGCTCGCGATCAGCAAGACACTACTTGGATTTGTTCTGCCCAGTGCTTCTTTGATCGTTCTCATCCTCCCACACCCTTTGTGAGAAATAATAGTACACATTGTGCAAATCGGCTTCCCAGGGAGAAGGAGAGTCTGAAAAGGAAAAGCCAACTCCCTGAAACAGAGATGAAAGTTTAACTCGTTGGCAAAAAGTTTAATTAACTGAGCCACTAAGTAGACTCAGTTTTGTGTGGAAAAGAAAACACAGTCGGTGCTGTGGTTGTGTCTCAGTGTCCCTCGAAGCCTCTTGGGACCATACGCAGGAGGGACCCTGGAAGGTGAGTGGATTTCAGGCCTTCACAGCCGGTGTCTCCGGAGCTGGGACCTGCGGGGAACTGCTCTCCCAGGCTCAGCCTGCGTCCATGCCTTCGTGCACTGGAGCCAGCGCCTCTGGACTGAAACCTCCACAAATCAGACAAGATAATCTTCCCGTCCTTTTATTTCTGAGTGTCAGTGTCTTGTCCTAGTCATAGAAAAAGTAAAAGTGAGTAACACCATCGGAACAATTTCTAAACATGCAGCTGTGTGGGGGGGGGGTGTGTGTGTATAATTGAACAGTTGTGCTGTTTGAAAGTGTTACCAAGAGGTTGTGAATGTGTGTTAATTTCTGCTCAGTAACACAAGTCGTGGAGGGCAACTTCTTCAAAGTTTGACTCTCTAAAGCCAAGCAAAACCAACGGGCCCTGGGAATTTTACTACGCAGAGTGGTAAGTTCAGGCCCCTGCATGCCGGGGATATGTGCCTTCACCACTAGGTTGGGGCCAGTCACTTCCTCCTTTCACACAGCATTTTGCCAGTGCTAGAGGAGTTTACTTTGGTTTCTGATTTTTCTGTTGACCTGATTAGTTTAACTCAGTATTTAAATTTTATTTATTTATTCATTAGTTTCTTCTGTCAATTTCCCAAAAGGATTGCCAATGAGCTTTAACTGCAATGCTGCCTGGCCGACCTGGACCTCAGCCCTGTTTTAGCTCACAGTTCATTGACGTTTTGCCGAGGAGTTTATCAGGGTCTTAGAATTTTGCATTTTATAAATGGAACTTGTAGGATGTATCCCAAAATGCTCTTTCTTTCATAGCTATTTATAATTTCATGTTTCATTTGGGTTCTTGGATTTATATCTTCTACTTACTAATATTTATTTATTTGAATGCTTTTATTTCTCTGCTATCAACAAAATATTAATACATTCTTTCAAGAAAAATTTTAAGCATGTCATCTCTGACCAAAAAACTAATTTTCTAATGGAAATACCAGTTTATCTTACCAGGACAACTTCTAGAGAAGGAAGAAAAAATATATCATAACATTTTAGATGGCATCCAAAAAAAGTTATCAAATACCCCAAGAGGTTTCTCGGTGTGCCTGGAAAATTGGTAGCGGTTGGAATTCACTTGCATGCTGCAGAGGGTGACAGTTCTCAAACACATCTCAGCATTGCCTACCGAGCTTGGTCGCATGGACTACAAGGTCGGTCCTGGTTCCTGACTCGGTGGAGCGGCAGGTCTGATAATCTGCTTTCCTAGCAGGCTCCTGGCAGAGGAGCTGCCATGGCTCAAGCACTGCGCACTGCTGTGGGCGGTTGCACAAATGTTTAGAGAGTTGCATCGCGTTGCTTGTTCAGTCTCAGGTATGACACCGTATGTCACCACGGGCAAGAGCTTTGCAAGGTACCCCTGTTTATTACTGGTCACCAGATTGCTTAGTATTTAAACGCTGAGGGCTAGGCATTCAGCTCAGTGGCTCAAGTGCTTGCCTGGTAAGCATCAGGTTGTGAGTTTGATCCTTGATACCAAAAATAAAAATCAAATATACATATATATATATATATCAAAAATCATATATATATATAGATAATATATATTTAAATGCTGAATACAAAGCATTTTCCTTCTAAGAAATGTATTGTACTGAGAAAGGGGAAAAGAAGCTTTGCAACACAAGCGCTGTTAATTTTATTGTACCACTTAGAAGAAATATTATGTTTTGTGATACAAACAATTTTGTTAACAATAGGCAAATAGGAAACAGAAACACATTATAAAACAGTGCTTCTCTATACTTGTAGAGCTAATAATAAATTTCAGATTTGGAATTTAACAGAATGTGTGTGTGTGTATATATATATTACATACTTTACTTAAAAGCATCTTTTAATTATTTTCATTATAATTTCTTGCCCAAAATATAAAACTTTAGTTGCATAATAACCTACCATACTAGCATATCAAACCTCTATCTTTAAGTATCAAATTTGGCTATTAATATTTACATAGCAAGGAGCGTTTTATGAAACACCGTTTACTTACACTCAGTCTGTCTCCCCGCAGGCCCTGCCAAAGCTGAAAAATCTCCTGATCAAGACGCCTCCTCCCCTCCTCGCCCTTTCACAGGTGGCTGTGTGGCTGTGTGAGGACCTGAGGTGCCTGCTCCCCACCGAGGCTCCTGCGTTGGATCAAATCCTCAACACCACACATTAGCGGAAAGCCTCATCTAGCGTTGCCTGGGGCGTGTGCCCCTTATTCAGCCAGATGCTTTTATCGTCTCAAAGAACAGCACTTGTCCTGCATTTCCAATATGATCATTCAGCTTTTTTCTCAGTCAGCTCCATGTAATTTCTTTACGAATAAAACAAGCTTTTTGTATATAACAAATCTCAATTTAGCATTCCATGCTCTCTCCTGCCCTCTTCTGTGACCCCGGAGAACTGCACAGCAGTTCTTTTTCTGCCCTCTGTAAGATCTGTGGCCACAGGGCCATTTCTCCTGTTGGGCTTTGTCCTCTAAGGCCAGATCGGCCTGGGAACACTCAGCAGAAGGTCAGCTGCCTCTTCCACCTTCAGTCCCTCTAGGGCTGTTATGGTTCATACATTGCATCAATGTGAGACCTCTGGGAGTTTAACTAGGTAGCTCAGTAATCTCCATCCTGGAGTGTAGAGGATGCTGTTCTTCGTATCCATTTGAGAAGGTCAGAAATCCAACTAAGTGATTCTGCAGGGAGCCAGCGTCCCTACCATGTAAACATCCTCAGCCTGTGCAGGAGGGCACAGAGAAGGTGTGAGCACTACCCCACCCCAGGGACACAGTCTGCTTACAACCTGAGGGAGAAAATGAGGCTCACTCTGCCCACTTTTAGCTCTTGTTTCACTGTCTTCTGCCACTCTGAGGTGTTGCCCCAGTGCCATGCCACCTGCTTTGAAGCCAGCTGAGTAGTGACTTAAACCTCCACAAACTGTAATAAACCTTCCTTCCTTTATTTTGGGTCTTGGGTATTTTGCCTCAGTGTTAAGGTGCATGATGGTTTTAGCAGATAAGTCTTATATGTAGCATAAGTGAACTTACTTCATTTCTACAAATGCAAAATCCATTTTACATGGATTATGAAATGTACAAATGCATAATCCATTTTAAACTGCATTTAAAAGTGGGCCTGCACTCTGGTTGTAGAGCAGCTGCTTTTCCCCTATAACAGCTCTACTGTCTGTACCTCACGGACTGTAGGAACAAGCACGTCCCCTTCTTCACCTTGAAGTCTCTCATATGACAGACCCCTCGCTATGTACCGCACAGCCATTCAGCACAGCCCTGCTGTATCTTCTCTACTAGGTCTTCCCAACTGCATTAAATCTCAGATTTGTGTACAAACCTCTCCCGCTTCTTTGGGTTTTATGACAAGGGCTGTGATGCCTGTGCCTCCATGGAGGTTCCCTCCCCACTTGGCAGGGGATAGGTGCTCGTCTCAGACAGGGTGACCTTCAGTTTCACTCGGTGGAATTCCTGCATGGCATCCCTGTCATCGTTTACTGACAGCAACTCAGAACTGTTTTCCAACAAGAATTTTTGGTACTTCACACAAAATACCCACAAGTCCATTAAAGTAGCCAGTTCAGGCGTAGTGGAGAATCAGCTGTGTTGTAACCCTCTGAAATTTATTTAACATTCAAAATAAAATTACTTTTTCTTCCACATACAGAATCTATAATTAATAATAGATGTTGGTGGTTAGAAAAGGTAAAAATTAGATTTAAATGAAAACATCAGATAATTATAACACTGGGTTTCAGTGTGTTTGTGTTTAATACTTTAATAACATTTAATGAAAAATAGAATAATTTAGATGTGCTTTATACCTGGATTAAAAAATAGCACACCTGGTCTTACAAAACTTGAACTTTTCTTAGTACTGGACATAAAATTGTTGCCTAACTGCATGAAGATATTCCATTTTGAATGTATAATGGCCATTGCAATGCTATAATTATAAGCTCAGGAATTAAGATATTTTCTCATTTTCAGAATAAATGTAAAATTCATTGGGATTCCATCAGTGTTTTCCTTTAATGCATTCAAAATATTTCAAAGATTGAACCTAAAATAAATTGACTCCTTATAAATTTTGGTGTGTTAGTTACAATAGGATGTTACAAAAGGAATAAATGCATTGGCCCACACCACAGCTCTGTTGGAATTTTGTTTCATGAAAATCTGTTTCTTTACAGTAGCAAACTGCATAAAACAGGGTTTAAACCTGATACATGGGAGTTATGAATTATCTCACTAAGCAACTTGTTATAGCATTGAGTCTCAGTTATATATTTTCAAATGTCTTATGAAAAGTGCTATTTCATGGAACACTGTGAAGATTAAATGAAATGTTACATAAAATATTTTAATTTTCTAAGCAGCATAAAATATTAGTTGTAATAATATTTCCCAAGGTTTAAAGTTATTGCCATCTGCTCTGATATTTCCAAGAAATGTCACTGAAACAATTCCTAAAAATGATAGCAATTTAACGAAGTACATGAAATTATAATAAAATTTTGGAGGAGCAAAGTGGTGAGAGATATCCGAGGAACACAAATAGGTGTAAGAATAAAAGACACCTGAGGATTTTGAATGAAAATCATCTGCACCCGGCCCTGCAGGTCAGTAAAGTTTCCCCCACAAGCATTGCATTTGCCAGCCTCGCAGACCGAGTTTCTTTTTCCTCCACTCCTGGAGCTGGTCCATCGCTGTCCCTTGAGGCCTCAGTAAAATTTATTCATTGCCTAATTTTACCTTCATTCTCCACAGTTAGAATTAGCATGGCTGGTGCAACCTGCATTTCCGTGTCACAGAGTATGCACTTGGGTCTCCATGGTCACATCTCAGAGCTGTCTCTTTAGTACAAGAACTAAATTCCTCATTTGCTCAAGATCCTCTGAGGATGGACTAAGTTACCTGGCATGTTGTGGAAACACAAGATAAGCTTATAAGATGGACTCTTAAAACTAACAAAGTGCAAATCCATAGTTACTATTATATATTATTATAATTTTTAATCATTGCTGTATCATTCAGGGGCATGCACAACTAATACTAATCAATTAAAATGAACAGGAGAGGAGGAATTTGTAAGGTATATTTGCTAATGCTGAGCATCTGTAAGAATTTTCCAAGCTAACTTAACCATATATAAATTATAGTATTGTTGCCGTGCAGCTGGGGAAAAGGCTGCAGTTTCGTGAAATGACCTTATTAAGCTCAGTTGTGCAATGAGCCCCATAAGTAACTTGACTCTTTGAGACACAAATCTGATATTTTTGTTGTAACATTTACAACTTATCCTTCAATAAGTCAGAACCCAAAGTGAAATCAAGGACGTTGTACATACCAACTCGGTGAACAACAACAAGAAAAATTAGGTCAATATTGAAGCAAAGGTGACCATTTCTAAGTATATCTGATTATGCCTGTAACAAAAATAGATTGATACTCATAATTTAATATTTCAGAAATCTAGGGATATCTGACCTTAACATATCTGATCTGAAGCTCTGCCTAAGGCCTGCTGATAAGGTACCTCTATATCTTGAAGGGATGGCAGACAAAACCACATCCTTCCTATGAGACCATGATCTAGTTTTCTCTGCAGGAATAGAGACACATTTGGGGTTTTGTAAATATATTTTCTGTGAGTTTATTAAGTTTATTTTCTAAATTTTACTTTCAACTACCCATGAAAAATTAGGTACTCATGTTTATACAAGATGTGTTCTGCATCCACTGGCAGACAGTCAGTGGCAAATCTCTTGGTTTTCCTGATATGAAAATTAGGGATGAAAGTCTATGCATTATTTTACCTCATAATAAGTGAGATCATTGTGGAAAGCATATGAAAGTATTGTCTAACACACAGTAAGTGCTATGTAAAATATTATCATTATGCTTTGGATTGTGGCAATTACAGAAAATATGAATACTGGCATAATAATGTTATACAAAAGAAAAGAAATAAGTATGAGAGGATTATATATGGTAAATTACCATTTTTGCAATATCCAAAACAAATAATGTTAAGCCAAGTATTTTTAGACAATAATCTGATTGAACTATAAAGTTCAAAGCAACCAGATAAAGAATATAATTAACTGTGCTGTTGTGTTTGTGGGGAGAAATGGGATCTGAAGTAAGGAGGTGCACAGAGCAGGCACAAGGGTCAGGAACGTGTTCCCAGGAAGGAGGCTTCAGCTTGGCATGACTGTGACCCAAATCCATGAAAATGACAAAAGAAACATGACTAGATAGCTATGAGGAGAATGGCCATGAAAGTGATCAGAAAAGGATAGATAAACCATTTTTCAAAAGCTACTTCAGCAATAGCTAAATATTAAATCTAAGTAACCAGGAAAATTGCGCATCAAGGGGACTGCAGCTGGCCACGCGCGGTGAGAAGGTGACAGACCTTTACCTGGATAGTTAGGGTGTGGTCCGGAGTAGACAATTGATATTTTCAAAACTTGCATCTCTAGGGCTAAAACGTTTTTTAAAAAGCACTATTTTACTGAAGTGCTGTGCCATAAAATGATTATGTCTCAGTAACTGAGATTCATTGCTCTAAAACAGCTCTTACCTACCACCTCATGAGAATGACTCAGTCAAAACTGAATTTCTTCCAGAAGCAGCATGATCTTCTTGAACTTCCCTATTTCAATTTGTTTTATTCCTTCTTTTCCAATTAGGACATGATAGTAATACAAATGCACAATTTGTAGCCCAGAGAATTGCTATTTAGTTGATGTGTGGTGTGTATCTTAAAAATGGATGGCTACAGATTGCTTTTGGACCCGCCACATTGTAGATGCTTCTGTTACAGTGTTTTTTAACTTTGACACTGCTGACATGGGGAGCCACTTTGGTGTGAAAGTCGCCCCATATGTTAGAAGGCACTCAGCAGCATCCCCGACCTCTTCTATTAACGAGGGGCTCACAACAGATCTGACCACCAGCGAGGTCTCTAGAGGTTTCCAGATGTCCCTGCAGGCGGGGCAAGCTAGCCTCTGCCTCCACTGAAAGCAACTGTGACAGTGCTTCGGTTGGCAGGAAACTTCAACTACAGAGAGAGAAAAAAATAACAGCAGCCAAATGTCAATGGTGCTTCAGATTGCAGAAAAATAGCAGCACGGGGTCGAGGGGGCAATGTCAGATTTTTTCTAAAGTTCTGCAACATAAATGTTTAACTCTAGAAACCAATTTTAAAAATGAGGCGTAGTGTAGAATTGTGAAGGGTAACCAATGTCAGATACAAAACCTGTGAACTATAAGGCTTAATTTGAAACACTCAAAAAT